TATTTAAAAATGGATCATGTATTAGGCTCTAAAAATACAGGTCAAGCCAATTGCAAAAATAAGCTCAAACAAAAAAGATAGAATATTTTAGATAAAATTAAGTGTTTATAATTATGAATTAATATTTTTCAAAAGTGAAATTTGGAATTAATTTTTTTCTTTGGAGCTTATATTGATGGTTATTATAACCATTGGTATATATCATACTTATATTGATGGATATTTATATACCGTAAAAAAAAAGTTACCTATACCGATAATATATTCTGATAGTATTAAAATTTTACCAATATAAATATCTTTTACTGATGCAATCTGACTGTCAGTATAATTAAAAGTCAATATATGAAAATTTTTTGTAGTGTATACTGACAGGTAGATATAACCGTCAGTATATCCTATGGCTATACTAACAATTAATTACTTCCGTTGGTATAAGTACCATTTACCTATGGATAGTATCTACTATTTAAAACTTATATATCGATAGTTAAAATGTAATACATTAGTATATAAATATGTATAATGACATTTATTTATATATTGCCAAAAAAAGATCAATGTTTACTGATGAAAAGGAAAAATGTTGGTATAGGCATTGTTTATACTGATAGTAACAAAAATCTGTCAATATAGATATTTTTACTTACATAATTTGACCATCAGTATAGGTAAGTGTCAGTATATAACATACTTATACTGACGGATAGTTATTTACCATAAAAGAAGTTTATCTATACCAATAATTATATAAAATGGTGGTATAAGTATGATATATTCTGATGGTATCAAAAAACCATCAGTATAAATCTTTTTTATTGATGTAATTTGACATCAGTATAAACAAATGTCAGTATATGAAAATTTTCTTATAGTGAAGCAAACAATTTTAAGATAAAGCTTTCGGATTATCAAATAGCCTTAACTTTATAAAGTTTGAAAGGTTACCCAAGCAGTGATTCAAATCTCTATTTATCTAAATTTTAGAATTGTGTGATATATTTAAATTAAATGGTGGTTTCTAATGATGCAATCAGACTAAGACTTTTTTTTTCTTTCAGAAACAAGGCAAAAATTGGTTATCTTCACTACATTTGTTCAATCACCATATGGGATGATTTGGCAGCAAAAGTTCCTTGTAAAATTTTTTTCACCTGCTAAGACAGCTAAAATGAAGAATGAAATTCACAAATATTCATGCAATTTGATGGTGAAAATCTATATGATGTGTGAGAAGAGACTTAAAGAATTGTTGATAAATGTCCATATCATGGCCTCCTATAGTGTTGTAAACATAAATTCTTTACAATGGATTTACACCATCCATGAGAACTACACTTGATTTGACCATTGGAAGAACGATAATGAGGTAAGACTGTTGAAGAGGCAAATGAGTTGATAGAAAGATGAAGGCAAACAATTATCAATAACTATGGAATGGTAGGTACATAAAAAATCTACTAGTGTTTCATAAGCTTGACACTCTTACCATCTATCACATCACAGATTAGCTACGTTTGACTAGAGAATTGATGATTTTAGGAACCCCATCCTAGACCCACCCCCTTTCATGCTATCCTAGCCGGCTTATTGCATGTGAAATTTGTGACAAAGACCATATGCCATTGATAAATGTCAATTAGAATAGAAATGATCCAATATCTTAATATTGCCAGCCTACTTAATAACTCACTATACCCAATACTTACAATCTAGGCTAAAAAAACCCACTCAAACTTTTCTTGGAACCAACCGTAAACCATTTCAAACCACCAACCTAATTTCACCCATTCACCAAAAACCCACCTCAAGAAAAAAACAAGCTTTGAAGAGAATGTTGACCCAATTGATGCAATTCTATAATGTAACTGTACAAAGCCAAGTTGTATCAATTAAAAACCTTAAAACCTAAATAGGTCAACTAGCTCATACCATAGGCCAATCGATCCTTAGGAGTCTTACCAATAATACCGAATCTAACCCAAAGAAGCAAGGTAAGAAAATATGTAATGTTGTGTATTCCTATGAGGGAGAAAGAGAGATATTATTATGATAATGATGATATTTGGATAAGCCCATAGTAGTCGATTTGCTAAGATTTATGAAACAACCAGAGACAAATTATATTAAAATCAGTAATAAGGGATGAGGAATTGCTTTAGTTTGGAATGGAAATTTTGACAAGTTTTGATTCACATGACTTTAGAAGCTTTTGAAAGTATTAAGCTAAATGAAGATATGGATGAAAATTATAAGATAAAGGAGGACCCTGATGAGTGTATTCAAGAAGTAGATTTAGAATAGGAATACATAAAGAGAATTCCACAAGAAAAAGATAAAATGCTAATTCAAGTTGTAAAAGCACTTCTTGAAAGCATACAACCTAAAGATGAGAAAGTGCAAAGAGAAAATTCAAAAAGTGAAAAGATGAAAATGATTCCAAGGATGTCAACTCAAAGGGAGACATTCGAAGTGTCACAAAAAACACCAAAGCCAAAATGAAAAGAACTACTTAAAGAGATAAAGATAGTTATGCTTGTTGATAAATGTAGCTCTGTACTTTAACAAATTCTTCTAAAAAAGTAAGATGATCCAGGGAGTTTCTCTATACCTTGTTCAATTGGTAGTTATATTTTGAAAAAGCTTTTTATGATCTAGATGCAAGTTTAAATCTAATGCCTTAGCATACTTTTGTGTAGATCAGTGCTGGTATATTGAAACCATCAATATTTACCATTAAATTTGTTGATAGGTTTGCAAAAAAACCCTAAAGAGTGTTCAAGAATGTACTTGTAAAAGTGGGTAGGTATGTTTTTCCTACTAGTTTTACTGTATTACATATGGAGGATAGTAAAGCCCCTATTTTGTTAGATTAGACCATTCCTTATTACCTCTAAAGCCTTAATTGATGTACATAATTATGATGTCATTTTAAGATTTAAGGATAAGAGGATAACTTTTAAAACTAAACAAGGTACCCTTAGAGAGGATGAAGATGTACAAGCTGTGCCTATAGTTAAAGAAAAAC